GTAAATACATCTATAATCATATACTTGCAGTTATTTAAACAGGTAAAATAATATTTACTCTTATGTTTTATGTACATGAAACATAATTTAAAGATTAATTTACCAATTTTTTTAAAAATTTTCTGTAAGCATGTTTGGTTTAATAACAAAAAGTGTTCAAACAAATGCATCAGAGAAGGTCCGTTGGCGAAGGATGATCTCTCCCTACTAGTAGTGATGTCATAAATCAGCGGAAAGCAAAGGTTCGCTGACACGGGGGTATAGCTCAGTGGTAGAGCATTCAACTGCAGATCGAGAGGTCCTTGGTTCAAACCCAGGAGTTCTATTCTTCAGGGAAGTGAAGAGAAATATTTTTTTGAGAAATTTGAAAGCGGGAATGATCTATCCCGTTCTAAATATTTCTTAACAAAGCATTTTCGTATCCGTTCCTATGGAATGCAAAGCAAATGTTAGCAGACGCGGGGGTATAGCTCAATGGTAGAGCATTCGACTGCTAATTGAGAGGTCCTCGTTTCAAACTCGGGTGTCCTCTTCTTCAGGGAAGTGAGCAGAAATATATATATATTTTTTGAGAATTTCGAAGGCGGGAATGATCTGTTCCGTTTTGTATATTTCTAGACAAAGCAATTTCGCATCCTTGATGGTGTGCGCGCGCATCGTAAAAATTCACCCTCATCCTATTTCTCTAACGCCCCAAGAGAAGTTTAACTTCAATAAATAAATATATTTTAAAAATGTATGTCACCTTGAAAATATATTAAACCAATTTATATATATATAAAAAAACTGGAAATTACGTGTTATACCGTAGACCAACTTGTTAAATAAAATGACTTTGCTAAATGCTGCATTTTTCAGCCAGTAGAGAAGCAATCTTAACTCATCTGTACCAACGCAATAATCTTGTTTCATCCTTACGACGCCTTTGAACCGGGGAAATCAGTTGACGGTATAATATGTAAGAACCAAAAATGCGGTCAGTTTACATTATTCAAATGTATTAAATTTCAATTTTAAAGTTACAAAATAAAACTTAGTGCAATTTTATTTTTGAATAAAATAATCTTGTACTTTTTTTTTAATAAGAATGTCATTAGCTGTCATGGAATATAAATGTAGATAGGAATTTTGTTACTTAACGTATTGTATCAAACGTATTGGCAACATTATATGAAATTAAGCACATGGTTGCCAATTTAGAGCGTACGACACATGCGAAATCGGGGTTGCCAACTTAACTAGTAATCTTGAACTTCGGCATTGTTGCTATAGTACGTAAGTACCAAAATTTTTATGAGAGTTAATATTTAATTTTGCTTACTCGTAGGTACTTTTTCCTAGGAAATATTTACAATAACTGGCACCCTTACATTTATGTTATCTTTAAAACTCACGTTAAGAAAAGTTGTAAATATCAAAATACAAGTATCTTTATCGGAATGAATAAAATGCGCGAGATATTTTTTTTTTTCAAAATAAAATAGCTAGTGTTAAAAAGTAAAACACGATTATTAATAACTCAAATAGTTTCAAACAAATAAATTTCTTTGAATTTCATTAAAAACTAAATTCGTCGCTTTCAAATAAATTTGCCCAAAGATATTTGAAAATCAAAGTTATCATTATTGTAAAATGGGAAGAAAGTTAAATGCAGTTCAATTAGATAAACTGTGGACGGATGAATGTCGCAAATTTGATAGTCAAAGACAAAAATGGTGGCAAAGATACGGAAAGAGTAATGAAGTTAAACCTTATGATTGGGATTTCTGTTATAAGCACGAAGGTATGTATTATATCATGGGTTAAAGTGTAGTATAAGGGAGGGAGGGGGACTTGGGGTCAATTTTTTTGGCGACCAAAATCGGTCCCCAAGCAACTTCATTTAGCGATAGGTTTACCGTGTGCCAGAATGAATTTCTTATCTCACCATAACATCTAGATAAAAATCACCAAATCCAATCACCAAATTCCCCCCCCCCCCCTAATCTGCACTTTAGCCATATCATGAAATATTAAACATAAGAAAATTAAACATTAATAAATAAATTTTGTCTGAGTCATATTATCGCAACCATCCCAACGGTGAAGATGACTCGCCAAGTTGGCAACATTGCCGCCATTTCATATAATGTCACTCATATGGTTACGATAATATGTAGTACCTTACACTTTTATAGAATAACTTTGATAAACAATTTCGAATATTGCAAAAACATTTTTATAGCCAAGTTATGTTATTTCTAAGGAACTAGTTTGATTTCTGTATTCCGCGAATTTTTCAGCCAAATAATTGTAAAATTCACCTATTTGGAGTGATAATATTGCAATGCGTTAACTTCAGTTTAACTACAAAACTAGCTTTAAAAATCTTATAAACACTTTAGAAAGTAAAGGTTTGTTGAAGTACTTATTTGTTATTGTACTCCACTCGTTTTTGGCTTGATTTTAAAAACACGCCAGATAGATCTTTGGAGACCAGTCCTATGTTATTGTCCCAACTTGGACAGATTTTAGAATTATTTAACCTCAAAAATCTGTAATGCTATGTTCTTGCTTATCCTCAGAGTCTGACAAAGATGCCGACATAAAATAAGTTAATTTGCCAGTATAATCAATTTGGCAAGAAAAAAAAATCGTATCGCCCTGTTTTGTAGAAGTAACATTATCATATACGGAATGACCGAAAAATAGGTCCAAATATTACAAGCCAAAAAAGATCAAACCGAGCTAACCTTGTCATTTGACTCTCAAACCATGTTTGGTACTTCCGTGTTATCGCAATCTGTCGGCGTAATTGTATGAAACAAAGCATATGTTTGCCAATTCAGCGTACAACACATACGAAATCGGGGTTGCTAACTTGGCAAGTCATTTTGAACGTTGGCATTGTTACGATAATACTTAAGTACACCATGTTTTTAAGTCTAACCGAAATTCAAGTTATGGTTTCAAATTCAATTCAGGTGAAATTCAAATCACCACATAGCGATTGGTTGAATCTTAATTTTAGTGCGTTGGTTGTAAAATCCTAGTTTCGTTCACACCTTTCACAGAAAAGGAAAAAAAGTGCCAAATTGCACCAAAGTTCATGTACTGGACTTCTATTTAGTATGGCGATATTTTGGGTGGATATTTGGGATGGCGATAAATAGAGGTGTGGGTTAAAATAGGATCCCAGAGTGCTGGTTATGGCTTTATTCGGGGAGCACAAATTTGGCTGCGGTGACGTTAGTACGCAAGTACCATATATTTTTAAAATAATTTTCTAGAATCAATGTAAGATGTTGCTAAATTATCAAAATTTTAGATTTAAAAATCTAACCTTGGATTTTTACTAGGAATGGTATATTAAAAATGAAAAACATTTGTCGGTACTTGCTTATTATCGCAACCGTACTGAAGATATAGGTGTATGTGACATGTCTATTTTTTCTATTATTTATATAACTTAGGCTGTTTCGCAGAAAGAACGACTTCCTTCATTAAATCTAAAAGAACTATTTATTACTGTATATGTGTTGACACTTTTCTCTCATTTACATTTTGCATTTCTTATAGATCAACACAAAACAAAAGACAGTCAAAAACCATGTTACTTTCCTCGAATGGAAACTGAAACTTCTTATATAAAGGATTTTCAAGATTACTCAAGTGCACTGTGTCCTCCAACATATAGAGAAAGTTTTGAAAAGTGTAAAGTGTGTAATGCTCGACATGTAATAGCTCTACCTAAGGAAAAGGACATTTGTATTTACGGTCATTGTTTGTAACAAAGAAATCTCAAAACTAACTTAATAAAGTCTCTACATAAATATATCACTAGCATGATTCATTTAAAACAATTTTTTGATGGTAAATATACCATAATATCTCTGTCTGTCTGTCTCTCTCTCTCTCTATATATAATATATATATATAATCTCATCCTATAAATCTATCTCTATACATACATATGTAAAAGATTTCACTTAACATTTTAACTAAACATTTTTCGGGAAATAAATTTTGTCCATTTGCAGTCATTAAAAAATTAATGACTTTAAATTTTAATCGCAAATTTATTTAATTAATTACATTAGACAGCACAAACATCGACAAAAAACATCGCAAAGAGACGTAGATGTTATAGCGATACACAAAAGCACTGTTTGTTCGCTAAAACGATCTCAGCTTTTATAGGTTTTCTCACTTGGAAGCTTTTAAAATCATATGATTTCCGGTAAAAACTGTTTTGATTGGTCAGAAGGCATACATGATGCAACATTGCATCACTTTGTTTCAAAAATGTGAACATAGTAGATTTTTTGGAGATAAGGCTGTGATTAGAGATATATTTCCCATTAGGCAGATAAACTGAAAATTATATATAATCATCACACGAAGTCTTGGAGGGCTCAAGACCATTTTGAATTGAGTAAAATCCCTCGAGAGAAAATTTAAGTGAATTAAACATATATATATAAATTGTTTTTATCCTTCGCCTCATCTGCTGTACCATTTCCTTTGTATTCCTTACTTAAATTTTACTTATATATATTTTAATATTGAAAATATTTAGTGAACATAATAAGTTTTTGTTTAAAAGCTATTCCTTTAAAAGTAAATGTGAAATGAAAAACTGGTGCTTTTCGATTATAAAGGCGCTAATTTCGTCGAGTGGAAACTATTGGAGACATTTTACAAAATAAAAACTATGTATAGTTTATATGATAGTTATTACTGAATGCCTGCTAAAATCACTCAAAGAATCACATGAAACGATTGCAGAAAGCGACTTTCGCCTATAGCTAATCTCCACATTTAGCAATTTATCACAGGTATCAGGTTAACAGAAATATACTTAATTTTTTTTAAAAAAATGAACTTTGAATTTTGTGCAAAAGAGAAAAAGATAAATTATTACTTAAAGAATTTTTCAAGTATTTTTGAAATATAAATAAATGGTATACCTATAATAACTTTCAAATAAATTATACGGTATGGAATAATGATTTAGGCAACCTTTTCTTACTCTCGAAATATTTCGCCAAATTATTTTAATGTTAAAAAATTTTTCAAACGCAAGGTTTACCAAAATATTTGTCGCAATAAAATCACTATCGAAACAAAAGATACTATACTTGGTATGCAACTTATACATTATTTTAATTGAAATATTTATATCTCAATTATCGATCTTAAAAAATAAAGGTATCACTAAATTACTAAGCTGTATTTTTTCATATCATCAAGTTTCCATTGTAAAGGAAAGCGAATTAAAAAAAAATTGATATGTACACCATTTTTTGCCAATGGAATCAAATATTTAAGAAATGCTATTTTAATCCTTAGGAAAACGGCTAGATTTCAGAAAAAAATCACACCTGTTTCCTTTCAATTACTAACACAATTAAGCATCGGTTGAGAATGGCAACAATATAAAATGCTCTATTAATTTAGAGGTAATAATGCAGAGGTAATAATGTTGTAATTTAAGAGTGTTGTAAATCGTAACAATCATGAACAGTTTTTCTGAATGCTCATTTTTGCTTC